CGTTCGATTACATTCCTAGCAGAGCTATGTTTCATGTTGTAAAATTCTTGTGGAGTTGTTGGTTGCGCCCCTTGCCTCCACTCACTAAGATGATATCTTTGCCCTCTGTATGGTGTAAGGAAGCCTTCCCCGTTCATGTAACCAGCATCACATAAATAATAATAACCTACACATGTAATGAAGAAATATTTGTTATAAACAATTCCCATGTCTATTTTACAATTTGAAAAATTGTTAAATGGAAAGTAACGTTTAAAATGAAATACCTTTTGGCACCCTCAATCCATTCGAACGGGATATAGCATCTCTTAGGATCCTTGAATCTGCTGCTGATCCCTCCCATCCAGGTAATACATAAATAAATTGACAATCTTGAGAACATACGCCTAAAACATTTGTTGCTACCTCACCCTTCCTTGTCCGATACCTTGGCTTATCAACTTGCAACGGATTCACCTTGATGTATGTCCCATCTAACGCTCCTAGGCAATTCTGTAATTCGTAAACAGGAAAATAATAATGAAAATGACATAAATAATAATTAACATCTTCAACTAATTTGTAAATACAGCAAAAGAGTGTAAGTAAGAAGTTACCTTGAACCATTTCCACCTTTCATCGGTTGAATTTTCAGGGACTGGCTCAGGTCTCTTAAGTAAAACCGTATGGCACCGTAGCACAGCCTGCAAAACCTTGGCGAACTGTCTACTAATAGTTTCACCCGACCGTAAGAATTGTCTTTTAATGATCCTATTCTTAACATCATGAGCCAGAATGTGTAGAAATATTGCAACGAGCTCTTCCACACTCATGTGCTTCGTTGGTTCAAGGCCCCCAACAACTTTAAGTAATTCACACAACCTAATGAAGGATCTCCTATCCATCCTGGTATTCTCAATACAAGCCGTTTCACTAATGTAAACTATTCTATGGAAATATATAGTCCTTAAATTCGCCCTTCTATAACAATTCCAGGTGACTCTTTTCCTAGCATTTCTTCTTTTTTCGAGATCAGCTAATAATAAAGCAAGTATAGTAATAAACATCATTGTAAGTTCATTCAAAGACTCCAAGTAACATATGAGTACAACAATGAGACTGCACTCCATTCCATTCATGTTTGTCAGTGGGAGTTTCGGTTTCTGCAAGCTATAAAGATTAATATTAATAAATTTTGCGTGATGCCCACTCATTGCTCATAGCAAAGCACGAGAATAACGAAAAGGACAGTGGCATACAGAATGACTACATTCAGTATTGATTTACCTAAAAAGGACTCCGCTTTGTAATATCAATTGTGGTTTGCCATTGCGAGACATTGTTCACTAATTCTGTATAAATTTTATTCCTATTTGAAATATAATTGTACATAACAACTCAAAGGACAAGATCCTATTTTATACCTTATTTTGTAAATTTAATTCGAGGTATATTGTTATATATATACAATTGACAAGTGGATTAGAAGAACATTAAACACATGCTGGAAAAAATATGGAAAAAGATAAAACAATTCAAAAAAAAAAAATTGGCCATTTAAGGATATGCCAAAACCTTATCTGTGAATCTAGAGAATTAGCAAAATAGCCAAAAGATGCATACTAATTCATACACACCAGTCCTAGAGGAATCAAAAAAGAAGTTGTACTAATAATTTTACAACAACAACATCCACTCATGCTTCTTCAAGACACAAGCCCATCTCTCTTTTGTTCATAGTTTCACAAAAACAAGGTACCCCACATTGTTTGTGGAATAAATGACAATTGTTTATAGATCCAACACAACCCAAAAAAGTAAATTTTTCACATTTGTAATGAACTCGGTCGAAAAATAAAATCAAAAACACAAAAAATGAAGAAATATTTCGACTTTTATGTATGACAATTGTAATGAAATGCTGTAAAAGTTATAAGTTAACAGATAACATTGCTTCATGGGAACTTTTCGAGCAACTGAAAAAAGGGAAAATAGGTCCAATGTTCAAAATCAAACGACAAGTGAAAGAAAAACAACAAAATGTTAGCATTTAGGTAAAGTAAATGCTTCATGACAACACATTTCACGGCAAAAATCCAACCTTCGTACTTATGGACCACAACGAACACAGCGTACCTGAATCAAACAAGTTTGAAGTATTTTTTTCGGCCTGTGAAGTCCGACCTCTTCAAGTTTTTGTCTTCGTCAAATCTATGAAATGATAAAGAAGGTTAACAATAATCGATGAACATTCAACTGTTAGTTAGAAAAGAAATTACATGTGATTCCAAAACCTACCAGCAACACGGTGGAGAGGCAACAGCTTCACAGCAAAACGATTGTGGATGAAAGGATACTTGTGATTAAATTTTCTCTCACCCCTCTCTTTATATCTAGGGCTAAGGGTGTTTTGGTCTTAAAAACTTGGACCCATTTTCCCCCCGCGTTGGCAATTGCTTATTCCACAATTTCAATGGCAAACTTCATCAACGTAAAATGGTGGCAAACACCTTCACCGCAAATTAAGTTTCCAATGGACAAACTTTTCTCCCCCCTACCAAACACAGCAAACTACTTTTCCATACCACACTTTCCATTGGAAAAAAAAAATTGCTGCATACCAAACACCCCCTTAATGGATAATTAATTGTTATAAGGACTGGTCGGACCTATAGGGGTCCTTTTAGACTGACTTCGAAGGCAATCAATCCGAAACTCTCGGGAGAGTAGTAAGGCGTCCGAAAAGAAAACTTTTTAGTACCAAAAAAATAAAAATATTTTTTTTTTAAAAATCCAATGAAAGAACAAGACAGTGATGATGTATCATCCAACTGCTTGTTTAAGATATTGTGGCGTTACATAAATTTACATGGTATTTTGACAAAAGTGGTAATCACTTTTGCTATCGCTAACTGAATATAATATATTAAAAGAAACCCAATCACGCCTCATATTTGGAGGAGTCAGTTTAAATAAAAATAATCCATCCTCTAAAGAAAGTTAAGTAAATAATTTCATAAAAAATGGTTCATCTAAACTTAGTTTATTTCAAAAATAAGCAAATAAGTATATAAATCTTTAAATTAATAATTATGTTCGCTTCATCATGTACTTTAAATTAAAGGATAGATACATATTTAATTAGCAATTGGATAAAAATACTTGAATGATTTTATTATGTCTTTGGACATATTTACTTATTTATTTTGTAGACAAGTTTATTTAAAGAAGTTTTATTTCTGTTTTTTTTTTTCTGTAAATAAAGTTTAACTTATAACAGAGAAAAATTATTCAATTCTATATCTTTAACTTATTTCTTCATAGAGTAATTCTTTGAAAATGAAGCATAAATTATCACATTTGTGGAATCCCCATGATAAAAAATAATCTAAATATATCACCTTGATCTTGATAAATAATTTTCAAACTTTATTCCATTGACTGTGCCTTATGCCACTTGGTTGTCTGTACCAAATCTTGTAAAACTTAAAAACAATAAGAATATATTCAAATTACTCTTATTTTATATATTTTAAAAGTATATATCAGGTTAAACTTAATGTATATAAATAAAGTATTAAATGATTTGAGATGAATATAATATTATTTACATATGATCTATAATATATAAACTTTCAATCCAACGATTGACTTTGAGATAAAATTATTCAGTAAAAAAGTTATTGAATGATGTAAGAGTAATTTTAACTTATATTTAGATTAATCAATTTACATCAGTACAAATCTAATTCTATTTTGCATATAATGATTTTAATTTATTAAATATTAAAGATATTAGTAAAATCACGCTATATCTTTTTTAGCATATGTTTGATTGTGTTCTGCTTTTTTCGTTTTTAAAACATCAATGAAATAAGTATTTTTGTGTTTTTATTGTTTTAAAAATTAAAAATCAAAAATCAAAATAAAAATAATTAAAATTTGTTCTCTAAATTTAATTCTAAAGACTAAAAAATAAATATAGTTTTCAGAACTATTTTTATAAAACAGGTATTATCAAACAGATTTCTTTATTTTTTATTCTCAAAATTAAAAAAGTATTTTTGGAAACAAAATTCAAGCATAACCATGTTTATTTCTTTGTTTTTTCTCCTACAACATTTTCTTTGCTGTGCAATCAAACAAGGCAGACAAACACAATGACAAGAGAAGAGAGCATAGAACCGATCGATACGGGAAGATTCAACGGCTTTTTTTTTTACCAAAAATAAAATAAAAAATAACGCCTTTGAGGTAGAAAATTTAGTTTCCAAAACCTTTTTTTTTCTGTTTTTATTTTTTATTTTTCTGAAGTCCCTATAAATTATGCTGAACCCATTATATTTTTATTTTTATTTTTTTTTTCCAAAGAGAAATGTTCACACGTAAAAAAAAAAAAAAGATTTACTAACTAATGAACAGTAACACTTCACTTTATTACACTCGGTTAAACAACTGAAATGGTGAATCACAAGCGATGAACCAATTATATCAATTACAACATTACACAGTAAGATGTAAAGAACGAAGTGAGAAAATGATGGTAATTCGTACTGCTCATCAAATCAGATATTTGAATATGATGACATATTCCAACAAATGTAGCTTTCATGCATGTTCCAAATACATAACAATAAGGACAATACATACAGCTGAGTGGCATACCGTAATAGGGGCGGCAATCTATTTACTGGGTGTCTTCGTACCTCAATATATTGGAGCTTATATGATAATTTGTGGTAGTTGTTCACTCACATATTCGCTAACAATTTTTCTAAGGCCGGCACAGTACAATAGGCATATATATAAATAAAAAGGGGAAAAAAGAAAAAAGCTCGATCCACCCTGTATAATTTATTTAGTCCCGACATGTATGGAAAAAAGGTAGCGCTATCTTATTTCAATATCGGGTAGCTACCCAAAAGAGCCAAACAAGATTGAGCCTCCGAAAATAATCAGTAGACAAAGGAAACTGGAAATCTATTTAGTATTTATATTAAGTAAACTATGATTCCAAACAATTAAGCAGACAGTAGTAGCGACAGTACTTTCTATGAACTTTGAAAGTAATTGTATACATTTCTTTTTATTTTCTTTTGCAGTCTTCTAAATTGGAATGTGCTCGAAACATATACGTAATTAGAGATATATGACACGTGAATACCATAATAATAAGGAAAGAGCCTTAAAGAAAAAAGCTGTCATCATCCCCTTGTTGTATATTGTTAAATGAGGGGCTAGGACAGCTCCTGTCGTTAATAAGGAGTTCCTCTATCATTTGGAGGGCAATTCTGTCCTCCTCATCAATCTCTGATCTCACAAGTTCTTGACCAGTTACTGTGGATGATGGGAACTGCTCAACAGACGAAGGCAGGGAACTATTATTATCTTCAGCCTCATTGGTACTCTTTTTTCCCAGCTGAACAGTCATCACCCAGTGTGAATCAGAACGCTGCCCAGCACGCTTTTGCCACACACCAATGTGAGAGTTCTCTGTGTCGAGCCTCAAACATGTCATGGAAGGGGAAGGTACCTTGCCACATTTTCTAAGCTTTGCGTGTAGGATTTCTTCCAGATCCTTCGAGGTGGAGGAGGGTGTGTCCTCGCTGGTACTGCTCTTTGGGTCACCTTCTGGGGTTTGAGTTATTGGGAAATTGGTTTTGGCATTTCGACCACTCATCAAAATTGCAGCTTGATCATAAGCTCGAGCTGCTTCTTCTGCTGTTTCAAATGTTCCTAGCCACACCCTTCTCTTCCTGTTTCACGCAGTAAAATCAGTTAGCTAGTGTTAAGAAATTCAGAAACTGACACACAGAGAGAAAATAAATAAAAAAAATAATGTGGTATAGAAAAATTGAAGTGGAATTTAACTTACAGAAGTGGGTGGCGAATTTCGGATACCCATGAACCCCAATGACGCTGCCTGACACCTCTGAACTTCCTTGATTGTACCATGATGGTGTTAGAGTTGTTGAGGTTGAGGGGATTGTGTGTAAGATAGTATGAACTCACAAATAGTGGTGGCCAAGTACACAAGGAGCAGAGTACCAAGATATAGAGGGAGATCTACCAATGTTTTAGCCCAATGTGGGGGCAGTGTCGGCGAACTAAAAGGTTATCGTACAACCCCATTAAACATGTTCACCTAAATCGTTCCTTCAAACAGTTACCCTTCAATAAATGTTTGTGCTTGACTTGTTTGCGCATAGTCACTGGAATCTTACCTTCCTTGCACTGTTCTTATTGTACTTGTCTTTCTCTGGGACATGGTGTATTTGTTTATAAAAACGTTCTTGTTAGCGGGCCATTTCAAATGAAGTGTGAAGGGGACACTCACTGGAATCGATTACTTGGCATTATTATATGGAGTCACTCAGAAGTCATCACTCGGTAGTTGGCGTGTTATGGAGAGCATAATTCAAAATGGTTGATGAAGATAATTATGGCAATTCGTACTAAACCTTTTAAATCACAGTTTTAAGATACCTTTTGCATAATTGAGTTATAAATGCGGCTTTTAATTTTTTTAACTAGAAAAAAATATTTATGGGTTATAGTAGTAGGTGTATAAATTAGCTAGAAAAAAAGAGAGAAGAAAAGTATGAAGGTCGACGTGGATGAACCGAAAGCGAGAACATAGTTGTTGTAGTCGCAATATTGAAGATGGAACATGCATGTTCCTATTATTGAGGACGATGAGTGGTGAACTTGGGTTGGGTACATGTGGTCAGTGCCAGCATCAGACATAAAACAATCCAATACCATATCCCTGATTACAAATTCACATCTTGCGGAATCAAGAAAAAGAAAAGTGTGGTTTAGACATATGTATATGTTAATTAGTATGAATTATGCGTGCATTCTTTATGAAAGTATACGTGATCTAGTTAAGTAATTATGAATAGAACCACGAAGATGAGTTCGGTTCGGCGAGCCAACCTGTCCCACCTGATAAATGGGGTGGGATGACCTGAATTTTTCAACCCATTTCAAAAATGGGACGAACTCAATTTTTTGACGAGTTTATGACGGGCATCGAATCAGTGTAAAATAGGCTCGGGCTAGCGGGTCAACTCGTCAAACAGGACGGAGCGAGCTGAGTTTTTTTGGCCTACTCTCAAAAGCGGGATGTGGTAAGCTAGCTCATTTTTTAGCGTTGATGGCGAGTGGAACGGGGCGGGTCTTCCACTTTACTACCTCTAATTATAAATCACTTCAAATCATAATTATGAATTTTCGTATGAGAGAATATGTTAGAATATAATATAAATCATTAAAAATGCATTAACCAATAACTTTAAACTTTTGAGTCGAATTAGTGCTTTACATTATTTTTTACTTAATTGGGGGTATTGGTTCAACAATTAAATTGTTTAATTTGAATTTTTATGGAAGTATATAATAATAATAATAACAACAATAATAGTAAGAACTCAAACGGACGAGTGACATTGTGGTAGTTGTAACTTAATTCCTCCAACAAGTCCCGAGTTCAACTTTTGCCAGTTAAACATAGTTTGCAAGCAGCGATGTATACATATGATCTATTGGTTGGACATTTGGACTGGACCGGTAGGGGTCCAATTTTCGAACAAATTTTCAATACTCTTGTCCCATCCCACCAATGGGAGTACGACACGTCAGCCTTTGCATATTTCTTGAAGAGAGAATATATTAGATTTCCCCCCAATTTCGAGGTGAACCTGTGATCCAATTCAGTTTTCATAACATTATATTTATATCAATGGATGTTTCTATTTAATTATGGGATATATTTTTCTTATGTTATAAGAAAAAAATTATCTCATGTTATAGAAATAAAAGTATAAGTGAAACTCACAGGTAAGAGAAGAGAGAAAAAAAAGTGGTGGGACCCAACCCTTTTTTGTGTGTAGTAGAGTTGTTTATCTCATGTAAAATAAGATAAACATAATCCTTTAATTAATCATTTTTTTTAAAAAAATAGCTTTTTATTCAAATTAAGTTGTTTTCTCCAAAAGCAATTATTATTTTATTGAAAAAAAATCATACTAAAAACAATAATTTTAGCATTTTATTTATTTGTAAGATTATTAAATATTAGGGAGATCTCAGCTCTCATTTGATACGACCTGCACACACACATTTTTTATAAATACAATTGTAATGGTCCCAAAATAGGGGTCCATTTTGTGGGTAACATACCCTTAATAGTGGTTGCATCCACCTGCATTATACGAAAGGGAGACGTCTCTTGTATTATATGGTTATTTAAGGTGTGGTGATGACAGCTTTGGAAGTCATTGCACGTCATTAAATGGAATATCAAGACTCCTCCAATCTTTCTCAAATCCGCTCGTGATTAGGTTTATACATTCGAACAATATTTAGCATATACTTTGTGTGCTTGATTATTGGTATTGAAATAGGAAGCTCTCCCCTCATACTATGAATTCAGAGACACTGAGGACACTGCCTATCGGTTAAGAAGCAGTGTTCTCATTTTTATTACTTGAGTTTGGATTAAATTTTAAATTAACACTTAATGAAATGAAAATTTCAAAACACATCATGTTAACATAAAACTGTGATTTAAAAATTGTCAGGAGAAGTAGCTCAATACTAGTTAACATAAAACCTAACTAAAAAATACTATACATTACTAGAAAAAGCTATTTTTATGAAGGAAATTTTTCGTCGAAAATAAAAAAATTCTGTTGCGCATATACCTTCGGCACAAGTAATTGCTTTGAAAGTACATGTTTGCACAAATGTGCACAAGTAGTCACGGATGCTTGATGCGCAACTATTTGCACCTATGGTCAATGTGCAATTCACATGAAATTATCACGTGGCAGTTGCATATGAATTATGTGCACAACTAGTAATTTGTTAAATTTATCAATGGAGTACTTTTCTTTAGCCACTATTTGTTAAATTTGTTCGAAGCTTAATTCTATCAAGATTAAAAAGATTTTTTAGCAACGTATTTATGTGTTGTCAGTTCCATTATCATGTGAGTGGATATGAGCATCGTTTTTGAATACTAACAAAATGAAACTCTTAACTCCACCAACTACTTCAACACTTTCAGTTGTTGATAGCCTGTAACGGGAATGAATGTATCTCAATAACCAATCTTATAGTAGAGTAACCAATCCTTATAATAGGGTAACCAGTCCTTATAGTAGTGTCCTTATTTTAATTCCTTATTTGTAATAGGTTTTCTATTGTAACAACTTTCATGGGTATAAGTAGGTGTGTGACTGTTAAGAAATGATATCAGAAAATTATTGCAATTTCTCTTCTCTCTCCTGACTATTCCTCTCTCAATTCCCTTTTCTCCTCTTCTTATCCTTTCTGCAATTCTTCTTCTTCTGTAGCATCCGCTACAATGGTGCTTTCGTCGAGCTACTCTTCCTCCATAGCTAGAAGTAACATTCATCCTCTTCCACAACAAATCACTGATCCCCAATCTAACCCTTCAATTTCATCTACGATTACATCATGTTGGGATGTTGTCTCTGTAGCACTTCATGAATTAGATCGATCTCTTACAAAATCGTGTGCTGACTTTGCACGGGCTAGGGCTGAGATGCAAGCTGGTTTTGCACAGTTTAGAGCTGAGATGCGCGTTGATTTTGCAAAGATCAGGGCTGATTGCGATAAGCTGCGAGCTGATCTGGAAGATATAGCTGCTACTAGGATTCAACGGATATTTCGTGGCTATTTGGTGAGGCGTCACCGATTAGTGATTGATGAAAATGCACAACAAGCTGAGACCAAATTTCAAATAATATTTCGTGAATTTTTATCCAAGCGTGTCATTCACCGATTGAAGGATGCAACCCACCCGCAAATTGATAATTCCAACCTTTACCTTCTTCAACTGACCACAAGTGATGCGACCAACAACCGTGTCTTAAAAATGGATCCTCCTCGATTCACATATGATGACCAGAACCGCACCGATGGGTTTTTGCTGGGGGACAAAGGTCGAGCACAAGAATTGGAATCTGTCCGCGACGTGAATGATGCGGTGATTGTGGTTTCATTGGCTCTCTTCTCATTTCCTCAGGTTTGTCTTTCCACCATGCCTTTGACTTTTAGACTTGACGCAATGATGGAGGATGCCGGTGACCCACCTTGGAATCCAGGGATTGCAGTTCACCCATATGCCATTGCTTTGATTAATTATAATATTATTTTACGAGCAATTGGTCCACTCACTTGGCATTTTACTTGGACCAAGCTATTGGTCGTGTACGCCTGGAATGTCGATAGGATATTTGCGCGAAACCTGTTCGATGAATTACCTGTGCATCTCATGGTGATTGGGAATCCCTATTCACTCATCCAACAAATGATATGTTTGGATTCACATGGTCGTTGTTTCGAAGCAACTCTTAGTACTACAAAAGATGTTAACAAAGAGGTCTTCTCGAGAGCCTTGCAGCACAAAGAGGGCCATCCGAATCTTTCGTTGAAGCCTCAAGAACAAGTTGATAGAGTGGGGATTGTTATTCCAACCATTGTCATTCGAATTGGTAATGCTTCTGTCATCGATCTGGACTATGAACTTCATGTTGATTTTGTGTTTCATGCAAACACACATGTTGCTGCAGTTATAAATTTAACTCATGGTGGAGTGTGTGCTTATGGTGCTAAAATTAATTTTGCATCCTTGTTATCCTTCATGTTTGGCTTCTGTGATAATGCTTCATATGGTGACTCTGTTATTGCCAATACTAAGTTGGGTGATGGAGATAATTTTGACACTAGTTATCGAGCACTCAATTATGGATTGTTGTTTGAGGGTATGGAAGAAGAGGCAGCATTGCTTGGACAACATTTGCGCATGTTATTCTCTGGTATTTTTGGCTTCAAGTTACCTGACAAGTGCTGCAGTAGGGTGCCAACAATTGACTTGGTTTCAACCATGACCCAAGTGATTAGGAAACATGGTGTTCTTGGAAAATTTGTTGAATTTTATGGTAATGGTAAGCGTAAATTTTATAATATA